CAAATTATCACGGTATTTCGCGATATAAAGATGAATATTTATCTCAACAAAATTTATTTTGTTTTTCGTTTATTACACAAAGTATAGACCTACAGGGTGTATTTGGAGGTGTTAGAAATGGAATAACAAATTTAACATACCAATCTAACACCAATTACCTTATAAACGCTCTCTCTCATTTCTGAGGTTCGCCTCCAAACTTTAAATTTTTATTTTGCGATTCGAAAAACATATTTAATCGAATGGTACTATGTGAGTTGTTCACACCTTCTAACATTAAAGTTAAATATTACCTTCCAATTCGAAAACTAACTACTGTTCCTGACTAAAAACACCAATAAAACAAATAATTCAACTCTTCTATTTGATTTGATTTCTTTTTTCTATTTTCATCGTTTTAAATTACAAAATATTTTCTCTTAATTTTTTTTGTTTCGGGGTCTTAAAGAGATAGTTTTTGGTTTCTATATTCTCATTTCTAAATCATTTCCAATGTTTTGCTTTGTTTTATTAGAGAAAATTGCAAAAAAAAAAACACAAACACACACAAATAAACTCACAAAAAAGCGCGTAATGACTGTATCCGTGGCAAATTTTATATTTTTATCTGAGTCTATATCCGTTGTACATTTGTTTCTGTTCTGTTGGTGTGTGTTTGTTTATTCGCATTTCAAATGCGAAAAGTTGGTATAGAAAAAATAAAACAAAAGAAGAAGAAAAAAACAGCGAATTATTTTTGAAATTGACCTTGAAAATGTTGTTCTTTTAAAGCGAATGATTTATAAGGCTTAAGTTGAAAAGAAACGAGAGAAAATAAAAAGTGGAAACAAATTTAATTTATGTTAATAAATGAGGAAAATTTAATATACGATGAAAGGGTGTTTTAATTGTATGAAATTATTAATTTCAAATTTACATAATTCAAAATATTGTTGGGTGGTATTATTGTTGTGCTGTAAATTTGGTATACATATGCATGTATGTTTATTATTTGAATTATACATACATATTTATGTATTTTATATGAGAAAATGAACATATGTACATATGTATATGGGGGTATGGTTAATGAATAACTTATTCTCGAAGAACATTCGATGAAATGTTTAGATGGTAATTTTATGAAAGGGATACTTGTGTACATAAAGAAAATAAAAGGAAAAATAAAATTAAGTATCCAAGGAATAATAAAAGAATGAGAATATTGCCGCACCATATAAAATTTGATACACAAAAATAAGTTAAACTTGAAATGTATACGATAACCCATTATAAATTACGAGGGCAGTTCGGAAACTTCTTAGCCTAGCACAAAAAGCGCGGTATAAACAGAAAAAAGTTAAGTGTTTTAATAAAATGAAATTAAAATGGATTAAGCGTCGTTTCAAGCTGTTGATGAGACATGGATCCACCACTATATTCCAGAGACAAAGAACAATCCAACCAATGGACTGAAGCTGGAGGAAGTGCCCCAAAGACGGCAAAAACTCTTCAATCGGCTGGTAAGGTTATGGCAACGGTTTTTCTTGGGACTTCAAAGGTATTTTATTGATTGAATATCTGTAAAAGTACTATTGCAACCGTTTGGATCAACGAAATTTACAAATTTGAGAAAAAACGTCCTGGCTTACAACACAAAAAATAATTTTTCATCACGACAACACACAAGAGTGTTTTAACAATGCCTAAAATCGACGAATTGAAGTACGAGTTGCTTGACAACCAAACTTATTCTCCTGATTTAGCTCCCAGTGACTTTTGCTTGTTCCCAAATCTTGCTGACAAGCGTTTTACCTCAAATTAAGATGCAATTACAGTTGTAAACCACTATTTTGAAGACCTTGAGGAAAACTATTTTAATCAAGGGATATAATTGTAGAAATACTTCATTGTCACCGCTACATATGGAGCAATAAATAGCCGTAGAGCAATATTGATAATTGTTGGTAGTATCATTTGTTACATCAAATTGATTGAAACATGAAATCGGACACAAATATCTATGGACGTCAAAGACTAGTGCAATATCACTTTTTAAGTGGAAATCTTTTTATGCGTGCAACTTTCGCAAATATGTTACTTTGATAAGACATTACTTTGATAAAGACATAATTGGGAAGTTTTACGTTAGCGAAAATATGTTGTATGCGATGTTTGCTGGTCATAATTTTCTTTTGATTCTATTCTGCCTTTCGGATTTTACTTTTTAGGTAATATAGGTATAGCACATATGAATACGGGAACCGAAAGAGGGAAAACAGCTACTATGATTAATAAACGTAATTCTATGTGGTACAAAAAGTCACCACATTTTAAAAAGCTCTGACATTATATACACAGTTGTTTTTGTACTTGAAATTGAAAAACAGTTAAAATTACCGCCTTAGGCTATCCAGTGTTAAACAAATTTTCCATCCGAATTGGCTGTGATTTGACATTTTGAGTTCTCATTGGATAACACATAACCGTAACAAAAATTATTAATATTGACCCAAGTTTCAGGGTAGCCCCCATATAACGTTACCCCAAATTTTCGGTAGTATAGGAATTAGGGACGCGTTTTTCCGCTGAATTGGCTATAATTTGGTATTCTGGGTTTTTATTGAATAACACATATCAGTACCAAAAATATTAATATTGACGCAGGTTTCAGCGTAGCCCCCATATAACAGTACTTTCCAATACTCAATATATTGGAAATAATTTCTAATATTGACCCACGTTAAAGGGCAGCCCCCATAGTATGGTACTGCCAATATTGGGATCTTCGACACTTTTCTCAATCCAATTGGCTGTTATTTGGTATTTTGTATTCTCCTTGGCTGTTAAATCTCACTACCAAACAGTAAGGAAAGTTCAAAAGTCGGACGGGGCCGACTATATGATACCCTTCAGCACTTTGGGTACATACAAGAGATGCTCATATGTACAATATCCTGTAGATAGAATAGACATAGCATCTTTGGGGGACCATTGAAATGGAATCGGACGAAATTAACTGTGTGTGATGTACATAGAACTAAATTAAGACAACTCATACACATACCATTCTGAAATGTATGAAAAATTGAATGTCAATATTTTGTTGAAATCGAGAAAAATATATATTTGAACTATATATAAATGGACGTATTCGAGCAACCGAGGCATCCGCCATTTGGTATGCTGCAGCGCAAAGCGCTATCAAAAATGCATCTCCACACAAAGTCCAATACTGTTATTCTAGGTTTCATTTGGTACGTTGTGCACTAATATGTCCTAATCGGACAAACTTTAGTTATTTGGTACAACGTTAGATGAAATCCGATGAAAATATAAACTTGTAACGACTTCGTAAATTGCATGTAAATAGGTTACATTATTTGTATGTGATAGCTAAATTTATATCTGAACAGATTTCAACAATAAAAGCAGGATCTGTGGTGCACCATTTACATAAATGGGACTAAAGTATATATCGTTAGCTAAAATGCAAACAGGCGTAACTAACAAAAGCATAATTGTGTAGGAGAAGCAAAAAACTGTTTTGAATGAAAACTATAAACATGTCATGTGAAATGAAAAAGTATGCCCGGCAGGGTGATATTGCATATGACGAATAATAGACTATATTTTTTTTAACAAATTTAGTTATTTAGTTTAATGCAGTCTTAACAATTAAGTAAAAACGTGAATTTTTTGTTAGTTACGCCTTTTTGCATTTTAGCTGACGATATGTGAACTATATTAAAATCTGAACCTATTTTTACAAAACGTCACGGATATCAACCTGTAGTAACTTCAAAATGCTATGCAAATTTTTTCCAATCGGACAAACATTGGCAGTATGGTGCTCCATATATATCAAGTCGGACGAAACTATATATGGGAGCTATATCTAAATCAGGACGCTGTGCAAAATTTTGTCTCAATCGGACAAATATTGGCGGTATGGTGCTCCATTTACAAAAAATCGGACGCAACTATATATGAGACCTATATCTAAATCTGAACCGATTTTCTCCAATTTCAATAGGGTTTGTTCTTGGAACAAATAAGTGACCTGTGCCAAATTTTATCCAAGAATACATGGGTTGACAGAAAGACGGACATGCTTAAATGGACTCAAAAAGTGATTCTATGCATATTCTCAAAAGGAACCATGTGTTTATGTCGTTTCCATATGCCTGTTGCAAATATATGCGCAAAGACATAATACCTTGAACTACAGTGTGGTGAAGGTTGTAAAATATTGATTTCCGTTTTATAATAGCCCCATATAACGTTTGTTCCACTATTAGATATTTTGAGGATTTCAATTATCTCAACATGAGTTTTCTCTTAGGAACCATATTTTGACATAGACCCAATATAAATGTCTTGCCCATTTATATATTTTGAAGGCTCTTTAAACCGAGGTGGCAAAAATTGGGTGGCGCAAAAAATTAAAAATGTTTTACATTGCTCCCATATAAAGATTCCGCCCAAGGCTCGTTGTGCTGAAGGTCTTAGTAGAAGTTTCCAACCTGAGTATCTGTAATTTGGTATTTCGTTTTCTCAGAGAACAAAAATATAAACTTGTTGATAATTTTGTCATGACATATCCCCCATGTCATGACATATCCCATTATTTTGAATGCGCGGTGGTCGAACTTTGAAAGTTTGTACTTGTTTGAAATTGTGTCTATTCTGAGTGGGTAACTGCAGAAAAGAGCTGATAGTCCTAAACTTTGAACTTGATTAAAATTCGCAATTAATATTACGATATCCAGATTTGGAATCAATCAGTAGCACAATTTAATTGTTATCATGCGCACCAGAAAAACAGACGGATTTGGCTAAAGGGAGGGTCGATTTGGCGACACTATCCAATTTTTATAAGCGAACAAGATAAAAATATAATAACTTTAATAATTTAGGACAATTATTATTAATTTATTTTACTAATATACAAACGCAATGAACAGTCTCTTTTTATTAAAATTACAACAATTATTGTTATTATAATTTCCCCAATTTACCCAGTCATCGTACTTCTTTGAAATTGAAATGGCGTAAATATTTCCCCTGATCCAGCATAGAATTTCGATTGAAATTCAACCCAATGTAAACGTAATGTATGTAAAAAGGCCGACAAGCCTTCCATTACAACCAGAATGGCCACAGTTAATATGGCCCAAAAAACAAAGACCACAGCTAAAAATAAACTATTGATATAACCACGATTTCCGGTAAGGCCTATTTGTAAGACCATATTCCATAGGACACTTGATAGCTGATCATGGGCCAATGATAAAGCCCAAAGACGTAAATAAGAGGCGGTGTGTGATACAGCACCCAACACGCTTTCTATGCAGTGAATACCTGGAGAGAGGAAGAGAAAAAGAATTAAAAAAAATAATAAAATCAATGAAGATGTATCAATTTACCAGAATGTATCCACAATTCACTGACTTCTTGTTGTTCGTTTTCCATACTTTTGCGTGGCCGTGGCGATGATAATGTGAACCCCGAATCATCCACATTGTATATGAGAGACTTGCGAATGCTTGATATATTATTTCGAACTCGCGTTCTACGTATAGCTTCGTTTTTAATTTTCCGAATTTTACGACGCTGCAACATAAACCAAATCGGTTTACCCGCCAACAGGACTGGTATACAGATCAGTGCTATGCCTAGTAATAACATTTGTATGACATCCTGATTTTCGAACATCCAAATTTCACAACCTTCTGGCGGCGTTTCCGGCCCCTTCATCAGCAGCATATTAATGAATATGATAAGTATTGATGGAGCACATGCGGAATTATATGGTTTATCGAAATGACCACCAAAATTCGACCATTTAAAGAATATCAAAAATACTAAATAGGCGAAAATGCAGAGCAAAAATAAAAATTGTGGTACAAACACCAAGAAAAGATCCACAAACTCGCGTCTGTAGATGTAATTAAATGCCGATAGTATCAGTCCAAAAATCATTTGAAATACACCCAGAATTACGGCTAATTTCATTTTGAATGAGTTTGAAGTTGTTATGGCATTCTCTCCTGATGCTTTCCATATTGGATCAAAACCCATGATGTAAGGAGTTCCTTTATAGTAATTCTTACGTGCAGGATCCAATTGCAATTCATGTGAACCCATTACTGTTGACTCATTGTAGTTTATAATCCACGAAGACCCAAAAAAATTAAACGACTTCGAAAAGCAATCATTATAAATTAGACCTGTGTAAACGGAAAAAGCACCCATCAGCGTTATAATGTAGCGGCCAGCAAATAGAATATTCCAAATTTCATTGGACGACTTTGCGAAACGTTGTTTTTCTTCGAGAGATTTTTCATACAACAGCATCCAGAGACCAAAGATGAGCATTATCAAACCATGACCAATGTCTCCAAACATGACAGCAAAGAGGAAGGGAAATGTTATAATAGTGTAGGGTGCGGGATTTAGTTCCTGATATTGAGCTATACCATATGCATCGATGAGATTTTGAAACCCCTTTGTAAAACGATTTAATGCAAAATAGGTAGGTTTATCTTGTGGAGCCATTGATCTCTTGTGGACCACATTCAGAAGAGGCATAAACATGGAACTTGTGTCATCCTTCGATGAACGTCGCACCCCTCTGTCTAAAGCACTTCTTACCGACTCAATATACTTCGTTGGTATCCAACATTCCGCTTGTAAATATTTTCCCAAATGCAAATGGCGAACACGGCCCATCCGATTCAGAATGTGGTACACCATTAGAATTTTCTTTAACTTAACCTTCCATATGTAAATGTCAGCGGCTGTTATCAGCAATATGCGAAACTCTTCACTTTGTGATTCTTCTAGGATCTTATCCAAATCATCCAAATCCTCCGATATTTGTAATATTTCTTGCTGCCTGTCCTTACTCGCTTCAGGACATGAATAAAGTTGAATTGCAAACCCCTGACAAATCTTTGCCACTTGAGCTTTTAAGCCACGACCCACAAAAAATAGCATGAAAACAAATTTCCTAACACTTTTTGCTGATAAGCGGGCAGCATCATTTTGTGGGAATTCCATATCGGAATATTTAATAAAAAAGTTTCCCAATGTTATTCTCCATAGCATTATTTCAAAGGCAGGAAACCTCTCGATGGGAATGGTACCGGCAAAGAATGACAAGTGTAGATGTTCCTTAGCCATAGGTCTCAGTTCATCATGGATCAACTGCATAATAACACTATCGGTCCAGGCCATAACAGCCTCATTGCTCTGACCGCCATTTAAAAAGCGATTGCCAATCTTCAGTACTTCTAATCGCTCTTGCAACACATTCCTATGTTTCCTTAAATTTTCAATATTCTTTCCAATAGCTGTCAATTCTTCAAAGGGTTGCTCTACTGTTGCCTCGAGGTCTTTTAGATCTGTTGCCTTTGGTATTTCATCTTTATCCACATCCGGATAGAATACCATGTTTATATTTAGATCGTGAATTTCCTTTTCCAAATAATTTAGCATTCGTTGCAGTTCATGACATCTACGGATTTGCGTTATATATTGATTATTCGTCACACCACCGCTGGGTTCATTGCCGATATTACGAAATTGCACTTGACCCAAATAACCCAATTCAATCAGGCAATTAAATGCCGATTCACTGTGCAAAACAATTTGACATAATGTCATTGATTCACTGCGAAAGAAGGACATATTGTTGGAGATTGTTAGTTGATGTTTTGAAAAAAATGGTTTAAATGTGTATTTGATGTTTTGTTTTAAAAACAATTTTCTTTGTATTGTAGACATAGGGCGGAACGTGGATGTGTTGGTTCTTTTTGGGTATTTGTGAAGCCTGCACTTATTTATTCATTTTATACAACTTATATTTTTTCTATTCAACGTTGAATACGACTTAGATAAAAATTAGTATTGACTTTTATAACAAAATTGCCTGTAATTTAGTATTTTAATTATAATTACTTGCGAAATATTCGTATCAAAGACTATCAATATTGACTTAAGTTTCGGGGTAGGCTCCACACCATCAGGCTATACTAAAAATGTATGTCAATCGGCCTAAATTTGACTCTTTGATGCACCATTTGCTGAAAATAGATCGAAAATATATATGGGAGCTATATATAAATCTTAACGGATTTAAAAAAAAAAAAAAAATGGCACATGTTGTTTACTAAAAATCGGACGAAAACACATATAGCAGCTATATCTAAATCTACAAAAACAAAACTTAGCACACATTATTCCCGAATAAATATAGTACGCTGCGGGGGGGACTTTTTTGCACTATTTACATTAAATCGGACGAAAATATATGTGGGAGCTATATCTAAATCTGAACCGATTTTCATGACACTTAACACACATCATTCTACACTTAATTCAGTACACTATGCGAAATTTCGTGCAAATCGAAAAATATATTGGGACTTTTGTGCACCATTTACATTAAATCGGACGAAAATATATGTGGGAGTTATAGTATTTGAGAGCTTTTTGGCCTGTTTTTCAATTGAATTGGTTGTAATTTAATATTTTATGTTTTCACTGGGTACCAAATCTTCATAGTTATCAATGGAAATTAATAAAATCAGCCGGCCGAACTTAATAACTTTTTACCTTTTCTTCAACAAAATTAACATATTGTGGGAGAAATAATAAAATCTTTTGAACAGACAGTTTCAGAGGCAACATTTGAAAAATAAAGAAATTTTTCGCAACATGTAAATATAACCAGTGAGCGGAGCAGTATAGTCGGACGGGGCCGACCATACGATACCCTACACAACTTCCATGAAAATCTAACTTTCGGTGGTTCTATATTTTGAGATTGGGCAATATTTCTCGATATTTGCACACTTTTGACTGGCTAGAGGTCAGCAAATGTTACTAATAATCAGTACAGCCCCTCTAATTATTTGTCCAGATTTCCTTCACCGTGGGTTGTGTTGTGATGTTCGGCTTTCGACACGAAAAGTACAAATAATTAAGTCCACTTCATCCGAAAAATTATTATCTGATCATCACCTAACATTTTAGGCGTTGTCCTTGACCATGACTGGAACCTCATGGAACATTTCAAAGCGGTCAGAGCTATATTTCCGCCCTCCAGTGTAGTAATAGGTTACTAAATAATATATGAATACGTAAGCACCTGTAAATACTTAAGTGTAACTCCCGCATCCGAGTACCTACGACTATATAAATGGTATCAATTTGACGGTCAACCACTTCTCTTGGATATACTATCAACTTCTCGGGTATATGTCCTTCAGTGGTAAATATATACGCTATAGAATACACATTTTGTCATTTTTCACACAAAAGTTAGTGTCTATATTACCCGCTAAATATTGACCGATCATTATCAAAACAGGCATGCTTATTCTTTGGCCCGATCCCCTTCTCCATGCAAAAATTCGCGGTGTTTGGGCCATAATTGCGGCCTCTGGAGAGACCACAAAAACTGACAAAAAATTAGTATTTGGTCCATTTCATCCCCTAAATATTAACCGATCTTTACCAAAAACAATAGGGGTCTTCATTGGCCAGAACCCATCCTACATGCAAAATTTAGTGAAGATTGGCCCATAACTGTGGCCTGTATCGTGTTTACAAATTATAATGGACAGACGGACGGACACACATGTCTAGATCGACTCAGCTAGTCGAGATATGATGATCGGTATACTTAAAGGTGGGTCTAGGACCAATATTTCGCGGCGTTACAAACTCTTGGGGCTGCACAAAGCTATAATACCCTGACAACATATATAATAATATATAATAAAATCTCATATAACATTAATTTGTCCCTTTAAAACGGTATATACATTAGAACTTCTTACCGGGTTAACCTACTTTATGAGGATTTATTTGATATATATGCAAAGGAATTGACAATTGAAACCCACTGGGTTAACGAAATCCGGTTAAATGTAAACGTACTATAAGTGGTAATAAATGATGAATTATATCAACCATTATTATGGACCGTTGACCTATTTTCCAAATGCACCCACACGCAAGATATTTCGACTCAGATTGCGGTGTGTGTATGCACAGCTACAGATACATTTCCAATTAGTTATGATGCCTTCCAATTGAAACAATGGCAGCAATCAAAAAACAAGACAAAATAAATTCATGGAAAAATGTGAAAATAATATTGTATTTTATGTATACACTTATGTACTGTGGATTCTGGATTGCTGCAATGAATTTAATGGAAACATGTAATTATTACAAATTTTCTTTTGTAATTGACAATTTTTATGCTAAGTTGAAATGAAATGTTATATGAAAAATTAGGCAAATATTCTCTATCGGGACAATCAGATTAAATACAATTTTATATTAAGGTCCTAGAAAAAACCCATCTTTCTTATCTGCAGAGACTGTAAACTTTATTGGTATTACATTTATAAGAAGTTTACTGTAGTGGAAACGAAAAAATAAATTAAATAAACTGATTTAAAAAAGAAAACAATGAAATTGTACGGCCAACAATGAGCGGCAATTGAAAAAAATATTTTATTGAAAAATTGTAGCAAAATATATTGCATTTATTTTCGCAGTAGTTTGATCAAACATAATTCTTAGTTGTCTTTTTTAGTGATTTTTAAGTATCTTAAAAAACAATAATTTATTTTATTAATTTTCGCCAAACATGAAAACTCATAAATTAAAAATGTACGTTTGCGAAAAAGTTTATTGAAAAGTTTTTAGAAGCCGTCCGTAGCGTTAAGAACAAAAATAACCTAAATAGAAGTTATTCCATAGACTGAAATAAATAAATAAATAAATAAAAAATAAAATAAATAATGGAATGCTTTTCTTTAGCTCTGAGAACTAGAATGACCAAAACAGAACAGTTCGAGAAAATAGTACCAAATTTGTATCGTGGATTCTTACTAGTGTGAAATAATTGGATTATTACGAACCTGGAAGAACAAAAAACATACTAAATGGGTTTATAACGTTTTTTTCTAATTTAATTAACAACTAATTATTGCTGTTTATAAAAGAGGTTTTCATTTTAAGAAAGCATTTTTTTGCGTCTGAAGTTACCTCCTTAAAATGTTATTATTGTATAAATATATCCTACTATAAAATCTCTACATTTGATAAAAACAAAAGAAAAGTAAAGATAAAAAACAAAAGTAAAGATATTGTCTTTTGTTATTGAGCCATTATTTTGTTGTTTATAGTTTAATGCCAGAAAATTGTTTATTTGTATACATATACATATGTATATAGACACATATGTACACATTAATAATATACACAAGTGCTATGGACATGCTGACCGATATAAACAAGAGAATGGAACCATTAATGACGTCAATTGATCAGTACACGAGGGAAGTGGAACAGTATTATTTGATACATTGTTTTTGTTGTTTTCTTCTTCTAGAAACTTTGAAAAGAATACAAAATAAATTACTTTATTTACTCCTCGTCAAGGTAAAGTGTAAACAGATGACCCTTTTATCGAAAAAAGTTTTTATTTTTCTCAGTGTTGCCCTTAAGAATTCAGGGTCAATAGAAAAGGGGGGGAACAGATTGTCTTGATCAATTGAGACAAACGAGGAGTTGAGAGAAACAACATGTGTAAATATGAGAAAGTTTCAACATGGGTCTTACTTATGGGACACAAAGAACCTAGACCTATTTCTGCATGGACGCATGGTTTATTAATATCTTAAAATAAGATAGGGGTAATCTTTTTTAGGCATGAGCTCAAATTTATTTAATTTTTTTGTTCTATTTTTAAGAGGCCTAAAGTGGGGGATCGAGAAATGTTAATATTTATCTCTGCACCTTTTATATATTTGATAAAAATATTAGAATCAAAGGTTATATGAGGAAAGTCGCACTTTAAGAAATTTATTTCCTAAATTGTGGATATTTTTGTTGACGTTACCAAAAGAAGCCGTCTATACAAATCTACAATGTTTAGACCAAAAAGTAGTTCCATTCGCTTTATATGTGACATTTTTTCTTAAAACTTTGAACCGGTGTGAGAAATTGGACATGCCGATCTACTTGTCCACATTAAAATTTTAGATTAAATTAAATCTTGCATTGTTTTTGGAAAGCTAATGAGAAATAAAAAATATGGATATTTACACTGTGGTACAGGGTATTATGTCTTCGTGCATATGTTTGTAACAGGCAAAAGGAATCGAGATATACCCATGGTTCCTTTTAATAATATGTCTAGAATCACTTTCTGAGTCGATTTATGCATTCCGTTCCTCTGTCCATATTAAATTGTAAACAAGGTACAGGTCGCATTTATGATTCGAATTGGATGAAATTTGGCACAGCTCATTTCTTTGGCCCAAGGACGAATCCTATAGAAATTGAATCCTATTTTTAGCAAATTGTGCACGAAAGAATTCAAGGGTGCATTAAATAATAAACTGAGGATAAACTGGAGGTTATATATTGAACAGCGCTCTGTGTTATATCTTGAACAGCCCTTATGCCCTTATGATGTACTTTGACATAGGTTACCGAAAACTTGTGTGTGGATTGATGTACCAAAGAAGAACCCATTGTACCAAATTTCACCGAATTCAGTTGAAAAGCACGCTCAAGAACCCCATTTGTTAGCCAATAATAACCCATTGTACCAAATTTATCCGATATTTGAGAACCCTACAATTGGGGTATGCTTATATGCC